GCCTCTGGGTGAGTATTTCGACTTAGCTTTTTTGCTTCTTTCGACTATTTTCTTGTATTCAAGTTATTCTCCACCCTTTTGTCTTAGATACCTTCTTTCTAGCTGAGGCGTCAAATTTAGGAGCTAACAGTCTCATTATAGTTGATTGGTTTAGATCCTACAAGTAAATTGAAATGAACCAAAGCTCCATCTGGTGTGACTTAATCATCATCAACCACTTCATAGTCTTTAAGCCTTGTCGGAAGAACTCTGGTTCTTTGAGGTCTTTGGTTTGTACTAGCCACACCCTGTCTATTGTTTGCTTCAACTTCTACTAAAATTTCTTCGTGCTCACGACTTTCTTCATCAATGTCACAACTCATTAATGGCTTGTTAGTTGCATCACTTGAATTCCAATCCCATGCAAAGTTCACATCAATGACAATGTCCTGACTCATCACGATCTTATCGTTGATAGGATTGAATAGCCTATATGTTCAATTCTTATGATATACTACCAGAATCATAGGTTCAATTTATCATCAAGTTTTCTTTTCCTTGCATAAGGAACATACTTGTAGCAAGTAGAGTCAAACACCTTCAGATGACTCACTGATGGTCATTTGCCACTCCAAACTTCTTCGTGCACCGTGCTCTTCAGTTTCTTGGTAGGGAACCTGTTCAGAATATAAATAGCAATAGTAACTGCTTCACCTCACAAGGATTTTAGAAAGTTCTTTAATTTCAACATGCATCTTGTCGTATCCAATATGGTTCAGTTTCTTCTTTCTGCTATTACATTATGTTAAGGCGTGTAAATAGCAGTTACCTTATAATCAATCCCATGTTCTGCACAAAACTCTTCAAATATCTTGAATGTATATTCGCCACCTTCATCTTTTTTGTAGAGTCTTGATCTTCTTTTCACTTTAGTTTTCGACAAGTCTTTTGAATCTCTTAAAGATTGAAAATACTTCATCTTTGCGCCTGATCACATAGATCTAAAGCTTTCGACTATACTCATCGAAAATGAGACAAAATACCTATTTCCACCAATGGTATGATCCTTAAATGGACCACATACATCTGAATGTACTACGTCTAGTATGAAGGAGGATCTCAGTGGGATAGTCGAAACGATATTGCTTCCCTACTAAGCAACTTTCGCATAGATTTTCGGGCATCACAAGACTTGGTATACCCGTTACCATATCTTAAGTAATTAGTTGATTGAGTGACCTAAAATTTAAATGGCCGAACCTCAAATGCCACAACCAATTATGCTTATGGTCGACAACTATTTTAGGCATTGTATGTCAGTCGAACTGATCATGGCCTTAAATGTCCTATTCTTCGACATAGGAGATTTTAAGACCAAGTTATTTTGGGTGTCTAAAAATTTAAAGGCTCTATCTTTCACAACTGTTAAGAAACCTTTTTCGACTAGTTGTCCAACACTTAGCAGATTGCACTTCATGCCAAGTACATAGAGTACATCTTTGATCATAACTTTTGCTCTATTACTCCTTTGAATAGCTATGTTGTTCGTACGTTCTACTTGCAACAAGTTATTATCTACAAGCCTTACCTTGCTCTTCTTCGATTCGTCAGTATTTGCTAACCATACTTTTTAACCAGTCATGTGATTCAGGCAGTCTGTGTCAAGGAATCGAGTCTCAGAGTCGATATGCAAATGTAGCCATAAGAATCATACCATCTAAATCATCTGACTCTTGACATGAGAGGTTTGCTATTTCACCATCCTCGCCTTTTGTCACTCCCTTTCCTTTCTTGTACCGATAATTCTTGGCCAAACGACCCCATTTTTTTTTACAGTTATAGCAATGCACAATTTTCTTCTCAGGTTTGTCTTTTTGATATGAGATTCCTTCTCCTCTTTTCGAGGATTCAGAATCCATATCATCAACCAAAATGTCTTGCTCCGAGTCTTGTCTCCTTTGCCCTGGAACTTGTTGGAACCACCATGCTTCTTCAATGTTTGGGCATGCAATGCTTGTATCGAATCTTGAAACCATTTCCTTTCGACAATTTGTAACTCGTGTGCTTCCAACGAACTAACCAAATCTTCTAGTTTTAGGGTTTCAAAATTGTTGGATTCTTGAATAGCTACGATAGCATGAAGTCACCCTGTCTCAATACTCTCTTCAGATTTACTAGTCTAACACTCTCATCATTTACTAGCCCTTAATGGTTAACATTCTCCATACACATGTTCTTTCAATTGACATATCTATCATGGAAATCTCGTTCTTCTCATAACATTCTTCATATAATCTCAATCCACCCCATCACAAGTCTTGTTTATATAAATGTTCAAAGTTGCCTACATTGTCTTTCCTCGTCTGTTATGATTCGAGAAATGAAAAATCTCATATGGCCCTATCATTACATTTTGGATACATTTTTAATGACATATTGGTAATTTACTCATATTTTTTAAGAGGCACCTATAATATATCATTAAAATTTGAAAATATTAAGTGAGGGGGATTGCTCTTTCGATCCTTAGTTGTGATGAGATACCCTTAGAAAATTCGAAAACGTTTTTGAAATAATGCAAAAGTTAACATCCAAATGCCCCTTATACACACAAAAACACTTTGTATGTGAGTCACCCTTATTTTGCCAATAATTAATACGAAAGTTAACCTCTGTATATATGGAAGGGTGAGTCTATAAGTTAAGTTTAAGACGGACTTATTTGACACATTTGAACTCATAATAGTGTGTTTATTTCACAACTCAATGGATATTACAGAAGTTAAGTTCCGTATTAACCCTCAAGATAGTAAATTTATCTCCTAATCAATACTTTTGTTACAAATTTGACATATTTTAACAAACCTTATATAATTCAATCAAACGATACATTGATCACAAAATACCTTATATAATTCAATTAAATCATATACTTGCATGATCAAAATACTAAATATTAAGTCAAAATACAAATCATACATTGTTCACAAAATACAAATTATTAAAATACATAGAAAAAGTCAACTACTGTGTAAATCTAACCCATCAGTTCTTCCTCTGTCTCCTATACTGCAAGCATTATGTTCCTAGGCTATCATGGACTCTAAAGTGGCCCTCTGAAGAGTGTCTTCATGAAACTCACCTCTCTCTATACCTAGTATTCCAATAGCCCCAATATACTGACATCTAGATAACACGTCAATGACATGCTCTACACTAGTATGCTCCTTCTTTAATATCTCTTGATGAACTGACCTAGGTGGTTGTCCAACTGCATTTGGTGCCATGTAAGGATGTGCTACTCTAAAAAATCATCGGATGCATCCCAATGCAAAACACTGTGGATAAGGTGCTGATACATTACATACATCATATAGGATTAGATGATAAATATCTCATCAGCAACTTTGTGGAAGACTGTGGGAGGAACAACAATAGTGGGGGCTCTAGGAATACCTTGCAAATACTCTAACCGGTCAATGACTCGCTCAAGTAGATATCGATACATTAGTCATAACCCACAAGCAAACCATCATGAGTAAAATTATGTGTCATTGAAGGGGTGTGTCTCACGGTGATCGTCATATGCTGTGAAGTTTATATGATCTGCCGCAATGCGGTCAAGATAAAAATTGAACGACTTGGTCTCTTGATTCCCTCTGAGCGGGATCAAGGAAACAATATATGGTAAAGCCTCTTCATAGTCGTCCACATATGCCCAGCCAGAGAGGCGTGTAAAATGTCGAGAGATGTATGCCTGAAAATGGTACAGATGCAATATTAGTAAGGGCGAAACACAAGTGTTATAGTAATAGTAAATGTATAAATATATTACCGTAATTAGGTGTTTCTTGTTTTCATCTATCTAGTCTTCCATAAACAAGTTCTTGGAGTACATATAAACCAGACAAGAACCTCCAGTTGTACTCATGAATCATCTCCAAATCAATGAAGTATCTTAGGTAGACAATATTAACATAATATGCATTTTGTCCACTCTAACATGTATCAATCTCTTTATGTTGCCAGAAATTTTACTTGTAATTACACCAAAAAAATCATATCATAATCAGAGAAGACAAACCCAAGGGACAAAACAAGCAAAATTAGAAAAATAATGTAGAACACCAAATTTCAGAAGTTAACTTCCGCATTGTAGAACAACTAAACACAGAGGTTAGCTTTTGTATCCTACTACAATCTAAAAAGGCAGGAATAAAGCGTGCCCAAATGCTTTAACTTCAAACTTCAAAAAATCTCCATGCATATCTCACTAAACAATCTATTATGCGTCATAATGCACCATAAACAACCTATTATGCGTTCAACTTCAAACTAACACATCAAAAACAAAACAAAAAGTAAGAAAATAAAAAGTTTACCGAATATGAGAAATTGTCGATCTTTGATTAATTGAAATGGGGTCGAGCTTGATTATGTCCTATGCTTGAATACAATTTAATAGAAATAACGAAAGAGTTTGAAAAATAATAGAAGACAAGTTTTGCTCACAAACTCTATTTTAGGTTTGAATAAACTCTCTAAAATAAAATAAAAAAGAATAATAAAAAAGTCTGACGCATTATAACAATCAAACACATACAAAATTTAACATATGTATGTATTTATTTATGTTCTGGTCTAAGTCTAAGAGTTGTCATTAATTGATTTTTGATTACTTAAAAATCTGATATTTTTCACCAAATATTTTAACCTACACGTTGTTTTCCTTTTTGTAATTTTTTGTTTTGTTTAATAACACGTTTTTTTTAAATCTTAAATATGTTAAATTTAAAGAATTAGGGTTGTTATGGTAAAATTGTTGGTATGTGGGGTATGAAGATCAATAGGAAGGTGGAGTTGGCAGCTAGATTTTCAAATAGTAGAGGCTAGAGAGTAATGAATAATTGGGCCGGGTCGGAGTAACACAAAATAGATCCGAAATACTACTACTTGATCGACGGCAACCCTAGCATAGGAGAGAGAGTGAGAAACAAATCATTTGAAGAAAAGTATCGAAGATGAGAGGAAGAAGCTACACTCCATCGCCTCCACCACGTTACAGCCGAAGAGGAGGTGGCGGAGGAGGACGTAGTCCAAGTCCTCGTCGCCGTTACGCCCCCCGTGAAAGTGATCTACCTACCAGTCTTCTTGTTCGTAACCTTCGCCATGATTGTAGGCAAGTTTCTTCTCGTTTTTCATCAAATCTTCCATTTTTATTCTCCAGAATCAACAATTGAAATCGTTTTTCATCTTTCAGGCCTGAAGATCTTCGAAGACCCTTTGGTCAATTTGGTCCTCTCAAAGACATTTATCTTCCCAAAGATTATTACACTGGGTAAGTCAATATTATAAATCATCATATTTTACTTTTTTTTTAATTTTTTTTTTCAATTTCAATAACTCATTGCGTTGTCTTTTACCGCAAATTTTCCTTGTTTTTTTTCATTGTCTGGTTTCAAGAACACATAATTTTATTTAGGGTTATAGTTATACTATTGGGGCTTTTTTTCTTAATTTATAATTATGAGACTGCTACATTGTAATAGTAAGTTTCTTAGGTTTTATCAGTGATTTAGAGTATTGAAGACATGTATCAAGTAAGTAGAAGATGTTATTGATAATGAAGATTTCAAGCAACTTGACTTTGATTACATTATGAAGATCTTCCAACTCTTGAAGATTTGATCTTAAATTCAAACAAAGGTCAGCAGCCTAGTGCTTGCTAGCTTGATTGCTTTATTATACCGTCCATATCATTGAGGGACTATTACAATAACTTCTTAGGACCTAAATTTTATTCCCTGCTCATGGTTTTCGAGTACCGATTTTGGTCTACTACATTTCTTGATGCTGTTGTGGATTTTTCTTTCGTTCCCTTTTTTTTTACAGACAGCCCCGTGGGTTTGGTTTTATCCAATTTGTGGATCCGGCTGATGCTGCCGATGCTAAATATCATATGGATGGTCAAGTTCTTCTTGGTAGGGAGCTGACTGTTGTTTTTGCTGAGGAGAATCGGAAGAAGCCTACTGAGATGAGGGTCAGAGAGAGAAGGTAAGATTTGCTTCTTCATTTACATTCTCTATTTTGGTATTGACTTTGAATGAATCAATATGAGATCATTTCTCTTAAATACACATTGATTAGTATATTAGTTATATACCCATTACATATACATCGTAGTTCAGACTGTATAAATGATATAGGCTGGATTAAAAACTTGTAGTTCAGACTGTATATGACAAATACTATACCATCATGAACTTATTAAGAGCTATGAGTGAGGTGAAATTTTGATTGTCTACTTTTTTATGTTTATGTTTTCATAGTGGTCGGTATTCTGATCGAAGGAGGACTCCCCCACGTTATTCTCGTTCACCCCGCTATTCCCGGTCTCCACCTCGTCATAGAACTCACTCTCGCAGCCGTGACTATGATTCCCCGCCTCCTAAACGAAGGGAATATTCAAGGTATTGTTTTGTGGCCACTTAACTGCAATTCATTTTAATTGAATGTATTTCTTTTTATTTCAAATCATGTCATCTATTTTATTTAAGTTCTAATTTTATGCTCACATATGCTTAGAAAAACCAGGATCAGCTGGTACTGTTAGTTTGTTGTAGTTTAAGCTGTTACAATCTGCTTTGCATTATGTTTTACTCGGTGACTTGAACTATAATTTTGGATGGATTTGTTCTAGCCAAAAGATTTTGCTGGGGTCTGTGCTCATGTTTCTAATTATAAGGCCTTCGATACCTGTTTTGTAGATCTCTATCACCTGAGGATAGAAGGCACAGTAGAGAAAGATCACATCACAGCAGGGAGAGGTCATACACACGCTCTCCACCCAATAACGGGGATGCAAGAAGTCGCAGTCCGAGTCCAGAGAAAGGCCCAGTTCTGAGCAGAAGTCCAAGTCCAAACCGTGATGCGAGGGAATCAGCCCGCAGTAGGTCCCCCAGTCAGTGACAATGGAATGGAAGCGAATCCTTAGACAATTAGATGCTTGGTTTTGTTTGAGTATTCGGCAAACACTTGCATGTGTTGTTTCCTCCACTCTGATACAATGGATTAGGATTTTAATTTATTGTTTCATATATCAGAGTTTGTTGCTTGAATTAAAAGCTGTGTTAGTGCTATTGCTGGATGTTGTTTTAAAATTTGTTACAATGTTTCATCTAGTTTCAGAAGGATTTGGTCTTTAATATGAAGCAAAAATAGCTGTGGGTATGAGTAGCACTGACCCTTCCTAAAAGCTGTGAAAATAAGTATATTAGTTCAACTGAATTTGACAGCCATGGTACGAGTAGTAACATTTTGAGCGAATAAGCTGAATAAATTCACAGCATTTATATGAGTGGTAATTTTTTTGAAGTGCAACTAAACTAATAAATTCCAGGCATTTTGACCTAGAACTTTATTAACTTAACTTAATTTACTATCTCAGGTAATTAATTTTAGTCTGAAATGCAACTAAACTAATAGTTAAAGCTGTAACGTGCATTTGATTCAAGTGTTCTTTGGGTTAAAATCAGTTTAATTGATGTTAATTTTTCTTTGGATTGAAATTATTTGAATTGTTTTTTTTTCCTCAATATTCTATCGCTATGAGATTTTTATATTGGTTTGTTTTATTTTTTAATTTTGATAATTTAAAATATTAATTGTAGGAGTAATACTATAATATTTTGATTTGAATTTTATTATTTAAAAAATAATTTGATGTTGAAAAAAGAATTCGTTTCTATTAAAAAAATTGATTATATTGCATCAATGAGAAAAATAATGGAATACTTGGGTATACTTAAATCTGTTAAAAATTGTCTCCTGTCATATTTTGTTTCTCTGTCTAATTAAACCTTGTGATAGAAGTAAGAATGTCTAATTAAACCTCGTGATAGAAGTAAGAATGTTGTGGTAAGATCATATTGTTACAAATTGAATAGTCAAATATTAGAAAAGTTGGTGGGGACGTGTTGTTTGGCATTGCTATATCTTTACACAGTTTTAAGAATCAATATGATAGTGAGATCCCTTGTTAGTAGGTCTTGTGATAATTGATGCTAAATTTAGTAGAAAAAATCAATATGACAGTGAGATCCAAAAAAAAATTACGGTTTAATTTTTTACAACTGACCTTCAAATCAAATTAATGAGTCACTTCTAACTAAAGTAGTCCGTTTAGTGGATGATAAAAAAAAATGATACTCAATAAAAATAATAATCATATAATCTTAAGTACTAGTGCGCGAAGAAGGATGTTTGTACTAATTTGTGTTAATTTTTGTTAATGATTTAATATAAATTTGGTGACAAGGAACGTTGGGTTGGTTGGTCCAAGAAGGTTTGGTTGGTCTTTCACTGCCGTGGTTAATGAATCTTACATTCCTAGTTTCAGACTACCAAATCTAACGGTCAAATCTCACATTACATATTTTCTTCTCTTTTAGATATTACTACACCAACTCAAACTATTGTTGCTCTGCTTCTACCAATGAAATGGGTCTCACTCTCAACCAGACACATACACAGGTACCATTTCTTCCTATCTTATTTTTCCATGATACTACTTAACTGAAATTGCTTAATGTTTTGCTGATTCCTCCTCTCAATCATAGAGTTTGGCGTGAGACACAAAAGAAAAGAAAGGTACACTTGCCATTTCAATGTTAAAAGCATTTTTATTTATTTATTTGGAATCAATGTTGGCTTTATATGGTTTATGTTTATTTTTCATACATCTCCCAATGCATTCAATCAATTTTGGTTCTTCAATTTAGTTTCATTACTTGGTGTATGGCTAATCATGAAACGTCGTATTTAAGAATTTTGGTCTAAACTTCTAAAGGCTTAGATTAATGCAGAATGGATATAAGGAGATATCACATTAGAGAGGATCTAAATCTATAAAAGAATGACACTCATAAGTTCATAACCATTGACAAAATATTATAATTATAGTTAAATATGAATTTAAAATAATTAGACATGAGTTATTAAACAACAATTTCCGACAATTAAATAAATCTTAGTTGAAAGTTATATCTTAACAAAAGTGTATAAGGATGATATAACTTCCAACAGTTAGATGCGTTTTTTTTGTTGAGTTTTTTTGGTTTCTTGTCAACTAAACAAAAGTGTATAAGGTGTGTCGGGAAGTTGACATAGAACATTTTCAGATTTGTGAAAAACATATAATGTATAATGAACACCCCATTTAGTTTTATATGATTTTATGGACTATTCTTAATATTTCTGTTTTGATGTAGTAATAAAAAAAATCAATCATAAACAACCAATGAATATTACTGATAATTGTAAAGGGGTTGTTATTTTTTATTTTTATAATAAATGTGAGATGTTTAAAAAATATATATTAAAAATGTGAATTCTTACAAAATGTTAAATATATTCAACTTTGACAAATTATCATGCTTGATTAAGGGTATAGTGGAAATTATCTTTAACAAAACTTTTTTATCTTTAACAAAATTTTTTGACGGGCTGAGGTATCCATGTTGACTTAAGAGTAAAAATATAAATAAGAGAAATGTCATTTTTTTTTCACCTAAAATCTTAAGACATTAGATATATGAGTCATCTCACTTATAAAGTGTTTAACTTTTATTTTTTTTTAAAAACTAATATGAGACTTTTAATTCACACTTGTATCACAATAATCTCTCTTTCTCTCAAGTGTAAATCAATCTACTTTGTCAGAAAAATTTTCGATACAAGAAATCGGTCCCTTAGTTGAACAATAAACTCTAATACTACTAATGGATCACGATGGATATATCAAAGGTTATAATTCACACACGTATGTTCTGGGATATTTTCAAGTTCAATCCCTTAAGTATTAATAGAAACTTGTTTTATTTATCAAATTTTCAAGTAAACAAATTGACGCACCTATCAAAAGTGATGTTTGAGTCTCCTTAAATAGCAATAAAATTCGGGACTTTTCTCCGTTGGATTTCTGATGTAATTTTGTCCCGAATAATAATAGATGTTTTTGGATTTGGTTTGTTACATAAAGATCTCCAACAAAAGATATAATTTGTTACTCATTCAAATTCAAATTTAAATATTCATTTAAGTTGATTTTATCTTCAACCGTTGTCAAATAAATCACTCAAATGCATTGCAAAAATATTGCAACAAATCTGATTGAATTTTAACCAGATTTTCGCTCTAAAAAATACAATAGTGGTCTGCTCAACCAAGGGCAAATGTTGCACACATGTTGGAACACCGTGTTCCACATGTGTCAATTCTTCACTACAACTACAATAACTTTTGTCGGTTGACAAAGACTACATGTTGCATCACACCCTTCTTCACCACAACTACACTCACATCTATCTGTTGACATAGACCAGATGTTGCAGCACACATGTTGAAATATTGTAGAGTAAATATTGGACCAAATCTTTCTTTAAGGTACATCCAATCAATTCTTCTTTGACTAAAGAAAGAATATGATATCACAAAATGCAACAAAGTTTCTTTCTCATATCATCCATCTAATGCAGCTACTTTCAAGATAACAATTTTCACAAGAAAACTCCTCATGTGATAAACATGCAATAAGGATATTAGGCTTGCCATGCCAAATTTGTCGATGTTACCTTTGAAACTTCTCATTCAACTGAGGATACAACTATTGATGGTGTGATTGTCTACCATACACCTTACAGTAGTACATGGGAATGAATGAGAAAAAATTAATGAAATGGTAATCATGCTTGACCAAATATATTGAGACATGTTACCTGACATTCGACATTTTGTTGTTTGAATAGGAACAACACACATTTTCTTAGCATTTGACGTCTCATCAGTCTGCAAAACCTCTTTTATGTCTTTGATGGCTAAAATGTTGCTTGCTTGATTAGATTGACCTACTTCATCTTTTGTGACACTAGAGATTCTTCTAGGTTTTCTTGGAAAACTTATGCCTTCAGTTTGAATATGTCTGACATCTTTGCAATTAAGGCATTGTATCCTTTTGCACCTCTATGAACATTTAAGATTTTTTCTTTCACCATCATTTTCTTTATGCTAAATATTCTTGACATTAGTATGGACTTTCTTCCCAAATCTCTTGTCAAGTTGTCTTATGACTTCACTAAAGATCTTAGCAAGCCTGAGATTCTCTTCAAAATTACATTTTGCTTGGACATCACGATATTTTTAATTGTCAACAGTCTTTGGAGGATTCTTAGCACCATAACAAATCTTTGTTTGATAAGTAGTTCATTCTTCTTCGAAGTTGTCTATCTTGAACAGAATAAGAACCCTGAGACTCACCCAAACATAATAGTGTGCCTGCTTTGATGCTAATTGAAATTTTGTTCATGAAGGGACAGATGTCAGACATGATGTTGGGACAACTGGTCCAACGCGATAAAGAGAACACAAGAAATTAGTAATCCAATTTTGTGAAATCACACCTATGTTTGGGGGCACTATACCTAAGAAAAGGAAATTCACTACTTCAAATGTGAATAATTAATCTTATAAGATCCCCAAACCCTATGAAGGCTATGCTTCTCCTTAATCCTAATGACTTTCTATTTAGGTCTCTCCCTAAATATAAGAACCCGCTTCACTTTCTCTCAATCCCTAACCCTTAGTGATCAACTTAACCATAAAACACAATGATTGTTGAATTTATAACTCAACTAAAAGAAACCAACAACTATGCCAAGTTACTGAAATAGAGAGTGGTGTAGAATAAATAGATTGAACACTAATATATCATTAGCGTGGAATACAAGAAAAGTTTTGTTCTCAAGTTCATAAACTTAGTGTCCTAGAACAAAGTTTTACAATTCAACTAACAAACCAAACTTCATGACTTAAGATAGTAAAAATGGTGCTAGAGTGATGCACAAAGATAACACAAACGAAGACTTAAAAGATGAACCCTAACACTAAGTATCTTCAAAATGTGCATCCCTTAAAAGTGAGGTTTGAGTCTCTTTGAATAAAAATGAAATTTTGGGCTTTTCTTCTTTGGATTTCTAATTTAATTTTATCTAGAATAATAAGAGATATTGTTGGATTTGATTTGCTTCATAAAGATATCCAATAAAAGTTATATTGGTTATTAATTCAAATTCAAATTTAAATATCCATTTAAATTGATTTGATCTTCAACATTTGTAAAAAAAAATTACATAAACGCATTGCAAAAATATACAAACAAAACTGATTGAATCATAACTAGATTTTTGATCTAAAAATGCAACAACATTGGTTTGTAGAACCAAGGCTAGATGTTGCACATATGTTAGAATATTGTGTTCCACACGTGTCCCTTCTTCACGGTAACTAAACTAACATCTGGTTGTTGAAAGAGACCAGATGTTGCAGGACATCATTCTTTACCACAACTGCACTAACATCCATCTATTGACATATACCAGATGTTGCAACACACAATGTTGGAACATCGTGTTCCACACATGACACCAGAACATCCAAAATAACTCTCTTCATATACGTGTTCTTTGCTGAGTAAATCTTGGACCAAATCTTCCTTCAAGGTACATCTAATCAATTCTTTTTTGACTGAAACAAAGCCAAATATTTACAAGTTGATTTTGGATTAACACCACAAACTTCTTTCCAAAGGAAGACCTCTACATCTTCTGAGGAAGTCAACACCACAACTCTTCTGAAGGACATCTGAAGATAGTCAGAATCCAAACTTTAATCTTATTGTTTAACAGGTTCTGTCAAGCACTTTATCTAAACAACTCTTACTTAACATGTTTTGTCAAGAACTTTAACTAAATAACTCTTGCTTAATTGGTTATATCAAACACTTTAGCTGAACAACTCTTCTTAGTAACAAAACACCATCACACTTAGATATTGGAACACAAGATGTAACATCTTGTTCCTCATGTTGCCTAAAATACAACTTGTACATATGCAGGGATAGCAATTTGACCCTTCGCCAATAGGTACCCGAAAAATTATCAATAATGGGTAGGTTAAAAATCCGCAAAAATGGGTATTGGCACGAACTCAGGTAATTATCCACAAAAATAAGCGGGTATGAGTGTGGGTATGGACACCTTGGTACCCACCCCGCCACATACTTGCACAATATATTTATGTATTTTAATTTATATTATTATACAAAAATGTATGTCTATATATTTTCAAAAGCATATCAATGTTAAACCATTACATATTTAATATAAGTGTTTGTTTATTTCAACAATAATTTTTTTTGAAAACTTTTTAACGTTTTTAAAAACTTAAAATGATATTATTTTTTTATAATTGATCTATTTATTTTTAAAAGAAATGTGGGTAAAGGGTACGGGCATGAGTACTTACATACCCATATGGCACAGGTACAAGTAATAATATTGGTGCCCAAGTGGGTATGGCCACGAGTACAAAGATTTTTTCAAATCGTCGGTGTGGAGATGAGTACTATAGTACCTTATCCAAATCCTGCAAATTGCCATCCCTATACATATATTGTTTTACCTAATGTAGACAAACAAAAGGAACTACAAAGTGAATACCCACAAAATGAATAAGAAATCCTTCTAAGATCACTAATCACCCCCTTTTGGCTAGCTTCTCTTTAGAAGGGAATATATCTTGTAAAAGTTTTCAAAAGAAAACCACCACTTTAGAAGGAGCTCAACTAATCCAGATGAGGGAAATATTCAAATTCTCGATCGTAGAATACGGAGATGAGCCAACAAACTGAACATGATAGGCACAAGAACTAGAAAAATTCTATATAGAATGCTTTGAAATCTACTTATCTCTATCCTAAGAGAGAATAACACTTCAGGTCAGAGAAAAAAGATTTTCAAACATCGGTAGTTCTCTAATAAAGAAGGTTTTTCTCCACCTAAGATCACAAATTAATTCCCCATTTTTCACACACCCAATCTCTCCCACAACCCTCCTGATTGGATTGAGTTAGAAAAAGGACCAGAGAACTTAACCATAAGAGGGATAGGTCCTAACCATGAATCCTTCTAGAAGGAAGTTTAGAGCAATGCTTGTAGTGGCACTTGGAGTCATTAATTGTTGACAAAATTTGTCCAGTTAAGCTTCTTGAACATAACCTTCAACATCATATATATTAGTAGAACCACCTTTACCATACATTATCATGATAAAGGGATTGTATTCCTCGAAAAAGCCTTGTAAAATAACATCAACTTGATCCCTTTTAGAGATTGGATCACCAATTGCTAGTAAATAAACAGCTATAGAATGCATACGAAGAACATAGTTAAAAATTGTTCTATTACCTTTCTTGATTGTCTTCACTTCATAGCTTAATTGATGTAAACGAGCTTTTATATGAGAATTGAAGTGCTTGTGCAATTTGCCTCATACCTCGCATGCATGCTTGCATGTTAGCACCAACTGCTTCAAAGATGGTGGAAAGTAGCCATGTGATGAGAGCTTGATCTTGGACAATCCAAGACTCTATTCTTAAAAAATAATATTCTTAAGCCGATCATTTTCATTCTTGAACATTGGAGGAATTTGTGGATTAACAACTATTTTATGGAACTTGTGGGAAAGAATAACTCCTTCCACTCGTTGATTCCATAACAAAAAATTACTCTCTTAAAGCTTAATAGAAAACTTTGGTGCAAATGTAGTTGAGTTATCTATGATACCAAGAATCATTGATGTTTAGGAAGTTTGTACATGAGAACTTTCAATTTTTGCCGTTGTTATTTCTCTAAAACACTAGAAATTGCACTCCGTGCAACAAAACCTTGAGCTTCTTTGAAGCTGGAAATGGTTTAAAACTCGAAAGCAAATCTTGAACTTCTATGAAGTTGTAGAGATAATGAAGAAAGCATCAGAAAAGTAAGTCCCCTTAAGTGATTGATACCATATTGCGAATCAACTATAGTGATGTGCATAGACATCGTCCAACACCATTGATGAAGCTTTGGAAAAAAACTCGTGAGTAGGGAGAGAAGAAGACAATAAAGCATGCTATGCATGCATTATAGACTATAGTATTACATTCTTAGAGAATTAGTGAGACTCATTCCTTCCTTATATACAAGTGTTACACATGGATTAAATCACCTACAAAAACTAACTAAATAACAAATTTAACTACTCTACTATTATTCTCATGCACGATCCTAATACATTGTTTTTTTGGTGGTGGTGCGGTGGTTGGTTTTTCCTTTTTTTTCTTCTTCTCTTTTTTAGCCATATATTGTTTGTTGATCGAAGGCCTTGTAGGATATTTCTTATACCTTTCTTTGTTGTTATGGTATTTTTGTTAAATTTATTGTTCTCTTATATTTTATTTTTCTTTATAGAAGATACAGTTAACCCATTCTCATACCTAAAAATCTTATATTTGTAAAATCAAAAGGTAATAAATAGATGTCTAAGAAACTCTATATATAAAACGACAATAAACACACAACATAATTGTAGGGTAAGCAACACCAAAAAGGCCTTCACATAAAATAATAGAACTAAATCAATCATCATATTTTTATGAATTTATTAACTGTATATTGACATGCATATTGATAGTATATATAAATATATTTTACATATGAACAGCTTACTATATTTTACTCCATTATCTTAATTAAAAAAATTATACATTACAACCTGAAATGAATTAGTATAAATGTTATTCAATCTTTAAAACGAATCCGTAAGTATATTATAAATAGAAAATTTCTGAATTGGTTTCTATATATAATTAATTAATAGCAAGGACAAATTGAGCTGCAATGTAACCATGCATGAAATGTCGATCCCATATAATATTTAACATACATGTAGTTGTAATACAATGCATGATAAAATACACACACATAATATATTAATATAATTAATTCCCAGCTGGTAACTAAAAGTTTGATTTGATGAACACATGCACTAATAATATATATCTAGATAGATTATTGAGAAAAATGACATACTATGCATCATGAATCTGTCCCGTCTTGGGTGAGTCGTCGCGGTTTTTGGTTGAAAAATGAGTAGACATATTGATGAGTGGCGATTCCCACAAAGTCGGCGGTGCAGCAGACAAGATCAAAGGATCATTCTCTAATCGGTGTGTAGCAAAAGCATCATCGTTGATCAATGAATCGAGAAATGAAGTAAACACATCATCACAGCAGACATTACTGCCGTCGAAGTCGAAATCCTTATGGTTGTTGTTAAGCAAATGATGATCCATTGCAGAAACATCACTACTAATTAAGCTATCACAATTAGCACCATTAAACTCCTGAGCTTGTTGTTGTTGCTGTTGTTGCTGGGGATAATGATTATTATGACTATGATGTTGAGCTAAGTGATGATCATCAGGTGAGGGATGATGATCAGATTCATTGTTCGTCGTAGTAGTAATAACAGGATGATGATCCGGAGAAGCAGAAGATGTAAAAGCAGTGGTTTGATGATTAACATTAGGGATTATCGAAGATGAAGAAGAGGGGTTATTACTATTATCAAGAGGCTTGTGTGTTCTAGGATCAATTCCTTGATTAATGAGTTTCTTGCTGAGATGTGTGTTCCAATAATTCTTAATCTCATTATCAGTTCTTCCTGGAATTCTTCCAGCGATCAACGACCACCTGAATATATATAAATTAACTATTCGATTAGATTAGATCTATTAATTTAACTAAGAACCCTAAATATTGATGAAAATGAAACCCTAATTGTGAAAAATCTACCTGTTACCAAGTAGACGGTGAAGACGGAGAATGAGATCTTCTTCATCAGGTGCGATCTGGCCGCGTTTGACAGACGGACGAAGATAATTCATCCAACGGAGGCGGCAGCTTTTGCCGCATCGGAGAAGGCCAGCTCGTTTGGGGAGAGTCCTCCAGCGACCTTCACCTTCTTTCTTAATGTAATCTGATAATACTTGATCTTCTTCTGCTGTCCACGGTCCTCTCTTCAACCCTAATTTACTGCAACACGGAGTTGTATTAGTTGTTGTTGTACTGCTGCTACCATTGTTACTCTTCCTCTTCTTCTGGCTCTTATTTGAATTTGTTGATGCAGATTTGGGTTGATCTTTCGACGATGAAGGATTCCTCATTGGTCTGAGTATCGATCCTTAGAGGTGAGATTTTGCTGAAAATATTTAGAATCTGCAATACGGAAAAATAGAAACAAGTGGGGGTTTAGTTAATAACACTCTCTTTTTTATCCCCAAGATTTTAATTTTCTTTCATTGCTTTCTAATACAAACAAACAACCTTCACTAACACCCACGCGCCAACCCTCCACCATTAGATCCACGTCTCTATATATACTACTGCCCCCACCTTTTTATTCCTTTGTCTTTTTCTTTACTTACTTTTTTTTTATTAAAATATTATGTCAACTTATTTTTTAATTATTTGAATTCTGATTTGGTGTTTACTTTTCAGTATCTTATTCAATAAAATTTAAAGTATCATAATATACAATTCTTCAATTTTAAATTCAAATAATACAAAGATTTGGTTTCTGTTTTTTTTATTGAAGAATAATGGCGTGTGTTCCGTCAACTTCTTCCAATCACGGAGTTTGTGACATTAAGTCGTGACGTGACACTTGGCCAGGCCAGGTCACCCAATAGTAAAATGTTGTTTTTTCAAATAAATTTTTTAAATATTATACTTTTTTTTTGAAAAATAATTTAGTAGCTGAAATTTTTTAATGAATAAAAGAATATTACATATTCAATTCTTATCTATGTATCAATTGAGTTGGTTTAATAAAATTGTTGAAATTTAAATATAATTTTAAGAGTATTAGTTAACATTTATCTCATTTTTAAAAAACATATTTATTTTAAACTTATATTTAAATTAGAATTAAAATTGTGTTTATTGTAAAGTCGGCACGCAGTATTTAATAATGTATTAAAAGTTGGGTAATATAAATAAATTGAGTAGCTAGGTGGCTTAACCGGCTTGCATTAATTATATTAGATCTCGGAATTTAGAGTACATGTAATAAAGATGAATAGTGTTTTTAATAATATTTCAAAAGATATTTGTAAAGGTTTTTTACATGGAAGAAATAGTTGGATTCAAATCCAACCAACATATGGAAGAAGCATTTCGAAACATGAAGGTTGGTTGAGACAGTGGTGGGTGTGTTTGGTAGTTCCTACAAATTTGTACTGTTACAGATCCACTTCTGTTTTATATATTCCTTACGTGCACTTGCATTGCATGTAGTATTAATTAGTCGAGTTGTTTTGATTTGCTTCTTCTTGTTTTGTGCAGGCATGACATGGATCTTTTGGGCCCAATAACTCATTACCTGACAAATTTTGTAGTAACAGTGTTCGTCAAAGTATAGTTTCATTAACTAATTTTGCATCTGTTTCATTGAGACAGAGAGCTAGCTAGTGGGTTGAGCATACATATGAGCAAAGTTATTATCCGCTCAAGAAAACATAACAATGACTGACATGCATGTCCCTAAAAGCTCATAGGTTCAATAATAAAACATAACAATACTAGTAATAATATTTCATATTCCTAGGTAGGGTGTGAGTGATTAATAGAATAAAAGCCATTTCTTAGAGGGTGGTTTATTTGTAAAGAAGGTACAAGGATAGGGTATAATACTTTTCAACTGAATTATTATCCTCCAACATGTTCCAAGATTTCTTAATTGTGAATTCTTCTGTATCTGTTGGAGTATTTCTTCTTACTCTTTTTGAATAGTTTCTTCTTATTAAAACAAAAAGTTTAAATATATTTTTCGGTCACTAATTTCAAATAAAATATGTAATTAATTCTTTCATTTTGAATTTTAACTTTTTATTCTCGTTTCTGTGTTATGAAATTTTGCAGCTCTCATAATTTTTTATGACATGAATATGTAATTAATTATGTTGCAGTAATGTGGAAATAACTAATTGAAAATATAAAACTAAGTCAATATTTTAATTAAATATCTAAATTATTTTTTCATGTATTTTCAGAAAACCACTAATAACTACAAGTGTAAAAAATGTTATCAAAAAAAACAACAACCAAGATTTAGTAATTAAAATGTGAATTTTCTAGTTTTATTATTTCAATAAAATACTTTTATTGGGTAGATGGAATAGGCCAAATAATAGTATGTGATAATTGATGTAAGTTAAATAAATTATTAAATAATTAATGTATTTAATTTATATATAAATTAAATATGTTAAAAAAATAAAATTTATTTATAATATCAAACATGTATTAGAGTAAACTATTTATCTAGAATTTAATCCTTAAGAATAATAGTTTCTTATATTCATAAACTAATGTAAATAAGATAACTTTTAAAAAAAAATAATATTTTTATTAGTGAATAGTGATTGAACGCAGAAAACAACAACGCGTCTTTATTTATCAACAATTGTCACAACTTTACTGAATCTGGATCAAAACATGTAGTATCAAGCAGTGTCAATTTTTCTAAGTATCACCATCGTTTACACTATCACCATAAGTATGGTCAAATCATAAAACACTTTTGTTTTCTGTTCTTCCACCATGAGCACAATATATAGTCACAATATACAGCGACGGATTTCAGTAGAGGCGAGGAGTCATATTACATCATTTTTATATGGTCCATCAATAAATGATACTCCTTATATTTTAAATTATAAGTCATTTTAATAAAAAAAATTATTTTAAATTATAAGTTATCACAATATTAATGATATTTTTTTCAATATATCCTCAAGTATTGATTATTATTTATTCTTTCAACTATTTTAATTTTTCTCTCCTCTATAATTATGAGGGGCATTACTGTAAAATCATAGATAATTTGTCTTTTTTATAAAGTAATATAATTTGTCTTAATTCGTGTAAAATGCTCAAAACGTCTTACAATTTGGGAGAGAGAGAGAGTATACGAAAATTTCTTATTGTACTATATGGATTATGTTCTGGATTGGGCCGAGCTCTGCCCCTCAGTCGGGTAAGTCCAACCCAATATTATGCTGATAAGGCCCAACAAGGCTCAATCCTCTCTCTGTTGGGCACGAGCCTCAACAAGACATGTTAGTCGGGCAGAGGACTCTCTTGACGGGGAAACTCACACGCTTCCCCCACGCGGGAACATGTCATCAAGCAACTACCCACTTCCGAAAGAGTTGGGCAACCCACCTTCCGAAGATCACGGAGCAGTTGATCCAGGGTGAAAACCACGTGCTGGTCTTCACTACGTCACGTAAGCCCTGACAGTTACTTGTGTTGGGCTTAGCAATCTGCCTCAACGCAATGTAACCGTTGGTCCTTGTCATACCCTAAATTTGTCCTACCCTTTTGTATTTATTTTCGCATTTATCGTTTCATGCCATTTAGACACGTGTACACCCGTAATTGGGTGTTTTTCAAAAAAAATTCTTTCTGACCAATTAAGGCGTGACACGTGGCCTAAAAGGGCATTTTTTGTGAATATTATTTTTTTTAAGTGTTATTAATATTATTTCTTTTTAGTTGTTATGTTTTTCGCTTTTATATATGTAATTTTTAGTTAGTTTTTATATATTTTAATATTTACTTAATGGTTAGTAGTTAATACTTATTTAATGATCATTGTTAATATTTGTATTAAATAATTGTTAATATTAATTTAGATTTAATTATTCTTTTTGTTTTTTGTTAATATTTATTATTTATATATTTGTTAATATTTGTGTTTCAAGTAATTGTTAATAAGTTAATGAAGAGAAAACATTTAAAAATGCTGAGAGGATCAGATTGGGCCTTTTCTTTTGCTTGGGGGGGGGGGGGGGGGGGGGGGGGCGTTAGGGTTGAATTTTGTCACATTTAAAAGGGGAGGGGAGTTACTGTTCAGGGAAAAACAAAAGAGGCGACCATCCCCAATTTACCCGAGAAAACCCTGTTTCCTCGTCCTCTTCCTCTCGCAACGAAGACGACACCGCCGCCAATTTTTTTTCCTCAGACCATAACCGTCCGCCGTTTTCGCTTATCATCACTCCAACCGAGATCCCTTTGCACATCTTCTCTTCTCCCTGGAATCGACGTCGTTGTTACCTCAAAACGGCGCCGCCATCATCATTTCATCACCGGAAAACGCCTCCCTGGTGCACCCTTTTCTGCCGTGCAACAAAAGTCCATTGATTCACCTTCTTCGAACTCAAGCCGAGCTCCACCAAGCCGATTGAACTCCGATACCCCTCAATGGCTCAACAGGTTTACACGAAAATGATGGCGCTACGAATACCTTCTGGCCTTGTCTTCTAAGCACTCTAGTGTCGGCACCTTTTGGTTAACAGAGGCATCAACCGGGATCCCATTCGTATTTAACGACAACGACAAGCAACATCGATGTTGTTGCGCAACTCAAATCTCCGTCAAACAACAACGGTGCTTTCGGCAACTAGAGGCGAAATGGATTGGGGAAACTGTCCTCAAGTGTGACGCGACGTCAATGCCGAGCAGCGGTCAATGTCGAATCTCATCATGAATAAACCCAGGGTAACATTTCTGTTCTTGTTCTCCGCTAATTTCTTTGTAAGTTAATTCGATGATTTGGTTTGCTGTTGTTATTTTAGATTGGTATAAGTTTTAAGGGATTGGTGTTTTGAAGTCCAGACTAGGTTGTGTAAATGATATGTCGATTGGTTACACGCTCAGTACCGTTGGCTTATCATCTTCAGCAACAATGGAGGTTAATTCAAACCTTTTGTTTGTTTGTTTCTCAGTTTTGATTTAGCAATTTCTGTTCGTTTTTGTTCGCACACGGTATTGATATATTATGCTATTAACACTCTTCTATGTTATAGATTTTTTTTATGTCACCTATTATAATGTTTGCAGTGAATATTTGTGAGCTGTTTGGGTTTAATCGGTGACGTATATACAATGCGGTAACAATTCAAAATTAAGGATTCATCATATACTGTTGGCTGCACAGATCATTGCATAGTTTAAATATTTACGGCGCCGTTTTATTTTGTTTTTTGACCATCAACTGGTTTGGTTGAAAGTTTATGCTTATCATAATTCTTGTGTAAGTTGGTCGTAGAAAATGGTGGCTTCCATTGCGACTGTAGTCTGTAAGGTCAGGTGTTAACAT